ATATAAAAATCCTTTGGGCTTTTTGGAAGTAAACCCATCAGCAGCTGGTTTGATGCATAATATTTTAAGCACCATTGAAAATAATGAACTAGAGTAGAATACTGTAAAGGAGTTCCAACTAAGAGCCACTGTATATAAATATGTCCATGCTGTATCTCACAGCTATGATTTATTCTTGAATATAAACTACCATGTTATTTATTCCACAAATAAGAAACATCTTTAGAATTGTAGAATGTATTTAGAATTAAATTATACTATATGAAATCAATGTCATTTTCTCTCAGTATAAAACATCTGTATCCAAAATTATGCTAAAGGCTTTGTGCACAATAAGATGGTTAGTATATTATACATTTTATGAAGCCTTCATGTCTCGTCCACTTCAAAAGATATCCACAAAGTGCTGAGATCATTTCTGAGAAAGAGGAATAACACAATCTTGAGTTCTAAAGTCTCAAAAGCTCCCATTCCTATTTTTTTTACTGTGCTGCTTGCAAAACGTTTAGAACTTTTGAACTGCATTTCAGAATTGTTTAAGTCACTATAAACTAACGTAAGCATATCTGATGGGCCTTTTCAGACTCTCAATCATTTTCAACATGCCAAAAGTCGTCACAACATTTTATGCACATTGAAGCAATAGCATAGGTATGGGACCTGTCTAAGGAATTTTTGAGCCAATATGTCTCAACAGTGAAATTTCAGGATGACCTTTGTAATGATCAAAGACCCTTTGCAGAGAGCCAGTTCAAAACAATTGTGTTCTTCATAACACTGGACAGAGCAATGACAAATAAAACAGATTTGTTAGTTTGAATAAAGTAGTTTTTATGTTTTCTGAGCCACAGTCATCCATCCATCTATTCAATGTCAACAACTGATGATGGTTTGTATGTAACTACAGAAGTTCTGGTTAAGAAGAATGATAGTGATTTGTCAAACATTTCTCCTAAGTAATTGCTGTTGTGCTGATCATTACAGAAATTTGATTCTGTTAAGAAAAAAAGGTGGCAGAAAATCATTTATTTCTTTAGTACTATTTTTTACTAGTATCTCCACACATTTTTGGTTAAATACATAATACCTTCAATAATGAAAACCAAAATAGATACCGGGAAAAATTAGAAAATATTAACATTACTGGTAAATTAACTAATAAGCTTGCTCAATGTCTGTTTAAAACATGGAGTCACATAAGAATCTGTTAATGCTGACTATGTTTCCTTTTAGTCCTGTACTAATATATCCTTTATTTTTTCACCATAAACAAAAAAAGTAAGATGTTTGGAAAGGATTATATTATATGAAAGAATTTTGTAGAACTTCTACTTTTCTAATTAAAGTTGAATTTTGAGAGGTATTAAGAACTGAATTAATTGAGACTTTTTTTAAAAGGGGCGGGGTTAATCAAGGCAATAGATCACTTATAAAATCTGAATGTGTGCTTATTATATATTATGAAAGTACAAATGTATATTCTTCAAAAATTTATAAGATGATAATACACTCAAAAATTGGAAATGCGGAGTTTATGAAAGTGGTATGTGAATTCCATTTTGAGAAGAAATACTAGAAGGAGAATGGAAATGAGTGTGCAAAAATGTATTCCTAGGTTACCCTTAAGTAACTTTATAGGAAATCTACTGAGAGACTTTACATCATTATCACTTCATTTTGTGCAGTATAGGATTATTGTTTACTTTTTGTGTTTTATTGGTTACTATCAGGGCTTTTTTTCTCGGAGAAAAGGTGGCGGAACTCAAACCTGGCCACACCCTCATCAAACCCTAGGACCGCCCCTTTAGAGAACAGGAATGCAAGTAAAATTTGGGAGGGGCTATTTCCGGTGTGGGAGGGGCTATTTCCGGTGCGGCCGGCCCGGAAAAAGGTGCCGGAACGCCGTTCCGCCGCGTTCCGGCTGAAAAAAAGCCCTGGTTACTATTGTGAGCTGCCCAAGATTTATTGTATATAAGATGAATGGCCATACGTCTATTAAATAAATAAATTCCAATGAATGTTTCATACCTAACAAAAACAATTAATATTTTCTGGTAAGAATATAATTCCGAAAAATAAGACATTATCAATACTTTTGGTAATGGCTGTTAATAACTCTAACCCTAAATTTTAAAAAAGAAATCAACTATCTGTATGACATAAAAATGCAACAGCTGTGAATGATACAATGTTTGTGAAATAAAATACATGGAAATGGAACCTTGATTTTTCTAAAATGTTGAAAATTAATTGATTCAAATTAGTGAAATGTTACTACTGGGAAATGTTAACATGAAGTAAAAGTATTTTTTTTTAAAGATTACTGAGTCAGTAAATAGTATTTGAAAATATGCCATCTTACAATTGTTGGTTTTGTCTTCCCTGTCAACGCTGCAAATACTGTATATTCTTGCTTTGACAATATGCGGAACTGTCTGGTATTTTTATAGTTAAATCAGGCAACAGTGAAAGGGGAGGAGAATAAGGAAAGCCCGGGAAAAAGAAACCGGAAGTAAATCACATCTTCCAAGTTAATTGGAAGATGTGAACCGTGACCCCAAAATAGGGGAGGGAAAAATGCCTGGAATGTAATGCAACGGAAAAGAATCTCAGATCTAAGCATTTCCACCATGCCGTACTGACATCTCTGTAACCTTAATAAATGCTTTTAGGAGAAAGAAAAATATGCCTGAAAGTCCTTTTAAGTGTTTCGTTAATCAGACACATGACATCCCCTTTTGTAGCATATAACTAAGAGGTTAAGGTTCTCTAACTAAATTCCATTCTGAACAGAAGTTCTTGAAAGGCCCAAGTTTGAGTTATCTTATCATGGAGATGAACAATTAGGTTTCCTCTGAACTTTGAAACAGCAGAGAGAGATGGCTTGGATAATGATCCATGCAACCTCCTAAAGTAGCAAAGAACATTTTGTTCTACCCAAAAAGCGTTATCCACTAAAGGTCAAAGCAGTAATACCTGCCCAGCCCTAGCATCTGTGATATATCTTTTCTACTCCAGAACTGAAAAGACATTTGACAATAAGAGAGTTAAGTACCATGGTCCTTAAGCAATTTTGGGCAGCAGCTTCCAACTGTGTGTTTCTTTCAGGAGGGGAGAATCTGTCCGTTTATCTGATTTCTGAGGCTTTCCTGAGTACACACTACAAGTTTATTGTGATCTGTAAAAAAAAATAAGGATATTAGGGCATATTGCCATAATTATCACATTTAATACATGTAAGCAATTCTCATTCATTCGAAGCACCATGTAGAATTATTTTTGGAAAGGTCTGGTTTATGCATCTCGAAAAGCCATCTAATCATTAGAAATACTATAAGATATTTCATATCCATACAACAGTGCATGTTTCATGTATTATTCAGCCTTAAGATCAGTGTTGTATTTGCTACCATTGCCTGAAAGCATTCTGTATGCTTTTAGAAAATGAAGCCTTGGAAAATAATGGGCCTGGTAGAGGGTGGGAAAGATACTACCTAAAATTGCTGAGCACTGTGTTAAAGAGGTTATGTACTTTCTATTCCCTGTTAACAGTGTAACTTACCTTTGGCTAAGGTAAGTGGGCTAGAACAGAATACAATACAAATACAATACAAATCTAACTGCTTTATTTTCATGACCTTTATCAAATAATTTCAACAATATCAACAATATGTTATAAGTACTGTAGAAGGATGCAAATGGCCGACACTCATGCTGTCATTGCAGTTTGTAGAATATGCACATGGCTGACATGTGAAGAAACGCGAGTTACAGTTATCTGGTTTATATAAATAGAAGAGGTCTGTGTTGTTCAATTCCATTTTTTAGCTTTTGCTGTAATGAACATTGATAGATGTTGCAAACCAATCTCTAAGACTGCAGGTTACTGTCCCACGAGAATGCACTGAAAAGGGAATATAGCTGAGTATTTTAAAGACTCTTACTTTCAGAAGTTGTGGCATTTATCCTGTCCATTTCCCCCCCCCCGGAGTCATATGTCTTTGAAGCAGCACAATATTAAAGGCTAAAGGAAATTTAGGTGCAGAAGGAAAGCAGTATCTGTAATAACACTGAACATATGAAGTATTGACTTAATATTTAGGGCACATGAAGATTTATAGTTTTTGGAGGGTAAATATTTATCTTTCAGATCTATGTATTGATTTACACTGAGATGAAAATCAACATTTACTTATTATACCCATTTCAATCTAGAAATCCTAGCTACATTATGGAAGTGTGATACTCCTGCATTCTTACAGTTTTTAAACTGCATAACGAGTGAGAAAATGCATAGATTAAAAAAACCTATTACAACTTTTCCATTGGTGATTTTAAGATAATATATTGTTCCTTAAATAAAATATCATCCCTGTTCTAGAAAAAGAGTTTTGAAAAGATCAGTAACTGGGCAAATGAGGGCTGGAGCAACCATTCTATTCAAATTTTTCAGTTGAAAAGTACAGCACAGTAGACGGAGAAGTCTGGGTCTTATAGACAGACTTGTGAAATGTGATTCATGTTCCCTCACCTTTTTTCCTAAAGCTAGTAGTTTGCTGTGAGTTGACTCCCTTATTGTTAAAAGGCAAATGTATTGTGAAACAGGCTGTAATTTTCCAAGATGCATGGTAAAAATGACCTGCGTTTATCTCCATTTTGTGGAAATCCTATGTGTGAAGCACATCAGTTTCACTATGAATTAGCCAAACTCTTCCAAGTTGGTCCATCTCTCATCTGTCCAAGAGATACAGTACTGATAGAAGAGAATATTTGTAGCTTAGGGTTGAACTGTGAGCTCCTTGGTGCTCTCTGAGCTTGGTACTTATACTCTGAGGTACAGTTTGTGCATATCTGAGGCAGGCAGGAAAAAAATACATACTGTATGCTTTAATGAAGTGCATTTGTAAAAGCACAATAACAATCTTATGTAGAAAAAAAGAGAAGTATAAATATTACAATGATATACTAAAGTAGAACATTTCTCTCTTGCATTCTTACAGGTGGCCTTGCACTGGCCCAGGTCCTATTTTTTTATGTGAAATACCTCGTACTTTTTGGTGTTCCAGCACTTGTTATTCGCATGGATGGACTCAAGCCTCCCGATTTACCTCGTTGTGTAAGCACCATGTACAGTTTTTCTGGAATGTGGAGGTTAGCTTTATTTGATTGCTGATGTTTATTATGCAAGCCTTTTTTATGAAATAACAGTTGGGTGCTACGGTAGTCTTTGCATATTGCATACAGTAGTCATTACAATTGCCTTCTCTTTTTAGAATAATTTTCTATTTAATAATCACTATCACCTAATGCATAGAAAAAGTCAAACCTGCCATTGGGATGTTCTTGACTAACTGACACTGATCTGATAATTACTGTATTTCCCTATTCAGTTGTTTCTGAAATATGATTCACTTTCCATTATTGTCCCCTTGAAAAAAGCACTTTGTCTAAAAAATTCATAAAGTCGGTTAAATAACATTTTATTAGGCAATCCCATAGGAACAGTACTGAGGATAATTTCTTCTGTGTCAAGTTAAAAGTGATGGTCTCTACATGTAATGAAGTAACTAGAGTCACTTTGAAGGTGTAAAAGTTTGATTGATTTCAGTGCACTTTTGGGTTTCCATTCTTTTAGAAGGTTATTTTTGCTATTGTGGATGACATATATAATCTACTTTTGCTGTCTAGAGAAAGGGGCTAACCTATGAAATGAACATATTTAGTCTGTTCTTGATAGTGTGGATTTAGCAGCTATTCCCAGGAATGTTTTATATCATCAACACTGTTTGTCAATTACATTGTCCTCCAGATGGCATCAAGCTTTCCACCATATGTGTATGATTGCTAACCTCCTTGTAATCAGCCATACGATGGAATTGTTTTTTAAAACTGTTTTAGAGCTTTGGCTGGTACAACGTCAATGGGCTCATTGCAAGATGTCCATAAGGTAACCTAAATTAACATGACAAAAATAGCTTTCATACATAAAATTAAAACCTATTTGTTCTCATATTAATCAGTTGGATATCTCTGGGAAACCTGGAAGCAAAGCAAAGGCATCGGTTTATTGCTTTCTTTATTTTATATAATGTTCTCCATAATGGTTTGATGCCATTTTATAGTTGAATCCCTGTTATTTAGGGAAGAATGAGTTCAGTTACATAATACTCTGTTATCCTGAGATTTGAAGGAAAAACCAGATCTAGAAACACTTGTTTCAAGCTAATAGAAAGGAAATTATAGGGAAGTTATTCTAAATTTCAGGAAACAGTTGAAAGCCTTAGTTTATCATTCTTTGGGGGGAGGGAGAAATTGTATATTGTGGTTTAGCTTTTACGTCATCATCATGTTAGTGGCTCATGTTTATTTTAAGAGAGTGTTGCTATTTGAGCTAATATCAGATTTGTACATTTTATTCTTGGTAACTATTATTATTATTATTATTATTATTATTATTATTATTATTATTATTATTATTATTATTATTATTATTATTATTATTATTATTATTATTATTATTATTATTATTATTATTATTATTATTATTTTCTTCATTGTGCCTTTCATACTTTTCTAGTTTATTTTGCTTATTTATTTATAACCGACCTTTATTATTTTTACAAATAACTCACGGTGGTAAACACATACAATAAAGCCAACACAGTGCTAGGCTGCATTAATAGAGGGATAGAATCAAGATCACGTGAAGTGTTAATAGCACTTTACAATGCTTTGGTAAGGCCACACTTGGAATACTGCATCCAATTTTGGTCACCACGATGTAAAAAAGATGTTAAGACTCTAGAAAGAGTACAGAGAAGAGCAACAAAGATGATTAGGGGACTGTAGGCTAAAACATATAAGGAACGATTGCTGGAATTAGGTATGTCTAGTTTAATGAAGAGAAGGACGAGGGGGGACATGATAGCAGTGTTTCAATATTTCAGGGGTTGCCACAAAGAAGAGGGAGTCAAGCTATTCTCCAAAGCGCCTGAAGGCAGGACAAGAAGCAACGGGTGGAAACTAATCAAGGAGAGAAGCAACCTAGAACTAAGGAGAAACTTCCTGACAGTTAAAACAATTAATCAGTGGAACAACCTGTCTCCAGAAGCGGTGAATGCTCCAATACTGGAAGTTTTTAAGAAGAGACTGGACGACCATTTGTCTGAAATGAAATAGGGTTTCCAGCCTGAGCAGGGGGTTAGACTAGAAGACCTCCAAGGTCCCTTTCAATTCTATTATTATTATTATTATTATTATTATTATTATTATTATTATTATTATTATTATTATTATTATTATTATTATTATTATTATTATTATTCCTCCTCCTCCTCCTCCTCCTCCTACTCCTACTCCTCCTCCTCTTTTTCTCCAGAACAACAGTCCTGTGAGGTGAATTGGGCTAAGAGAGAGTGATTGGCCCAAAGTCACCCAGCTAGTTTTCATGGCTAAGGCAGGACTTGAACTCATAGTCTCCCATTTTCTAGCCTGGTGCCTTAATCACCAGACCAAAATGCTACTAGATTGAACACAAAAATGCTAAACTGGGAAGGTGAGAATGAGAATAAAGAGACTTGACATCTCTTTGAGCTCTTTTTCTTATTTATTTTCTTTCTATTTTGAACAATGGGAAATAATTTATTTGGACTAGCTCTCAGGCTGGTGCAGATGGCTGTCTGGGTTGGGAGTGTGATGTAGAACAGTTTTCATTTCCCCTTTCAGTTATCACCATCCAATGTCCAACTGACACTGGATTTTCCTATTTGAGGATGGAATCTTCCCTCTAATCCTGGGTCTCCATGAATCACAGGATTGCTGCCCAAATAAGCCAGTTTTTCAAATTGTATTTGAGCACTTGGCCTCTGCATCCTAGGCAAGAAGAAACTGCATGCATTCAAAGTGCACTACAATTCAAACAAGCTTTTCAATAATTAATCAGCAATATTAAAATCTAGTAACAAATAACCACTTTTCAGTGGGACTGCATCTAGTTCTGATTTAGAAAGAGATGCTACCTGACAGGGATGTGCAATGGAAAGAACAGATGTTTTAAGAGTTGCAGAGAAGTGGTACATTTAGATTCCTGTTCACTCTAAAAACATGTTTTTAAATTAGTTTTGAATACTGCACAACCCTGCTAATAAGATGATTAATGCTTTCAAATGTAAATATAAATTATCAAACCTGGGAAGAGTATCCTTATCCTCAAAAATAAATATACTGCCTCAGACCAGACACACTCTCTCTGAGCCCTAAGAATCAGGCAATGGCAAACCACTTTCGAAATCTTGCCAAGAAAACTGTGAGGAACAGTCTAGGTCAGGGCTTTTCAACCTTTTCACCCATTGTACCACTTTTAGGATAGGGCAATATCCGAGTACCAGCAGTTGCCTAGCAAGGTGTCAAAAACTTGATGACCAAAAAAAAAAAAAAAGGAAAAAAGTGATGAAGTACAGGTAGCCCTCAACTTACAACAGTTCGCTTAGTGACTGTTCGAAGTTACAATGGCACTGAAAAAAGTGCCCCCCAAGCCACAGCTGAGCAAGACACCTGCCCGGTGGCGCTCTTCCTCCTGTCTGAGGTTTTCATTGTTGTGAGCATTTCTGTTGAGGATTGGCAGCGGGGGTGGGTGGCGGGTGTTTGGTTTTATTCCCCCCGTCTGCTGGGTGGTTGCAGCAGGTTTTGGTCACTTCACATGACCCTGGGACACTGTAACCGTTATAAATATGAATCAGTTGCCAAGCATCTGAATGTAAATCACAAGACCCTGGAGATGCTGCAACATTCCAGCTGATCGGCGCTTCTTCAGGGCTCAGCAGAAGCACCAGGATCAGCACCGAGCTCCAGCTGGAGCCTGGCGCTGATCCTGGCGCTTCCACTGAGCCCTGACAGCCCTGCAGCTCCAGCCATCTCTCGCTCAGGCTTGTGCGGTGCTGCCACCGGTTCAACTCATTCCCCTCCCCCAGTACCACTTTTCTAGGATGGTCGCGTACCACCTGCCAGGTGCCAATGTACCACAGGTGGTACCCGTACCACTGGTTGAAAAGCCCTGGTCTAGGTGATCACCATGAGTAAAAAATTGACTCGAAGAAGTTAATAACACAAATTAAAATTACAAGTATATAATGGACATAAAATAATCATTTAACAGCTACCAAAGACCCAGAGTGATTTACAACTGATCTCAATAACAAGGTACACATTCAGGGGAAATGACATGTTGACAGCAGAAGCATCTTTAAAAGAGCTTCTCATGCAGAACTTAATAACTGGACATATACATAACATATCGTAATGAAAGAAAACACCATATCTCTAGTATCTGTTCAACTTTTTGCATTTTGGATAGCCTGCGACCACACCATATTCAGCCTTGATTATCACTTGCTGTGGTACCTAATATGAACAGAGACAGGAAGGAAGGAAAAATTGAATGCTGTGTTTATTCTCTCTTACATAGGAGCTTTGGGATATTAGATGCTGTTCATAAAAAGTAATGAACATGTTTATGGATTTAAAATAAATTACAAGAAGATTCCATGAAAATATGAAATAGTTCATCTATTGCGAGTGGAAAGATATTATTGAGTCATTCAAAACGATGCTGTTTCAGATAATAATTAATGTAAGTTCACTGCCTTGAGTTATTTATATAAAATAAAAGCAGAATATAAATAAATAAAAACAATTGGGTTGCAACCATAATAAAATGTGATTGGGGATGGGGGCACGACTATGTGTCATTACTGAAAAAATATTTCTAATAACATGCAGCCATTTCACCCAACTTGACATCAAGTTGCTTGGGAATTTAGGAAACTTTATTTCAGCACATCTGAAGATGTCAGATTGAGGAAAGCAAATTTACAGCTTTGCCGATTTTAATCAGTGGCGAATTCATTGACTGTTAGACTTTTGAGAGCGAGAGGTAAAGATAGCAAAAAACGGTTTTAAAAGCCATGACACGATCCTTTTTGGGATTGGAAAGATTGTTTTCTGTTTCATGCTTGGAATTAGGCTAGCTAGACTGAGTATTGGAGCTTCGTTACAGGGTTTTAAGCTGCTTTACTTCTTTTTCTGTAAAGCCTGGGGACAAGCTGTTTTTAATTCCACTGTGGCATGGTAACGGGCGTGGAAAGGAGCCATTT